ATGAAATTCCTAATGAACTAAATGTTAAAAAAAAATAGCGATCACTCCCGAAAGTAAAGACAGACTGCTTCGTGAATTACACCGCTTTAGGATGCTGGTATGGTAATATTCTGCATTCTGACCCGTGATTGCAGGGACCACTGGCTCTTTATTTGGTAAAGAGAAGAATATTAAACGGAGCCAGTGCAAAATAAGCGAACCTTTGCTAGCCGATTTTTTGAGCTGTTTACCTTGCCTACAAGCCTTAAGCTAAACACTCAAAGGAGAAGTGCACCAAGTATGTGTGCATTTAAGGAGGAGGAACGGAGCGTCCTTATTTCTGTGACATTAATGAAAGGAATTACAGGGTACAAAATAACTGTGTCAACTATTGGCATCACGTTCTGTATGTAAGTGAAGGGTTCAACCATGTGACAGCGACTTGAAAGAAAGATTTGTTTCCTTAATTGTTTGTTTTTTTATTTTCTTTTTGCCATCCACATTTCTTGTTATTTTTCCTTCTTACTTTTTTTGCTATCCGCATTTTTTTTTTCCATCCGCATTTTTCTATCCACATGTTCCCATCCGCATCCGCCATCCGCAGGTATCCGGTCCGCGTTTTACAGACACCCATAAAACTTCGTTGTAGTTTCAGCGAAACGACAGGTTTAATGGGCAAAGTCTAAGTATTCAACTATTTGTTAGTTGACATTTCAGTCCTCTTTTCCATTACGGGCTCCAAAATTCCATTGGTTTGAGCAAAGTCATATTCTGTGTTTGGCCGCATGCGGGCTCAGATGTCCAGCTAGAAATCAACGTTTTGTTCTCCAGCACGGAGAGCATCCACGATGAAATAAAGATCAGCATTTAATGCTGTATTTTCTTGGAAAAGATCAGTTTTCCTCAGCCTGTTTATCCTTTATTTTCAATTCATTAGACGAAGACGCGCACTCTACTTGAACGTCAGTGGAATTAAGATTGCTAAAAGAGAGCTATGCATCTCGTCGAATTCTTTCTAATTTTTGGCATTCCTGTGCTCACGTATGCCACCCACGTTCCTCCTAAAGGCCTCTACTTTGTGGGCATTGGCTATAACCTGCTGAAAGGGAACCCAGAGGGAGGAGCTTCAAGCATTGGAGGTATTGATCCTGGATTGCTTTCTACGAGGAAGATCTTTCAGCTGACATGGAAGACAAATAAGTTGTCCAGCGATAAGAAGTATAATGTCCCGGATCAGGTCAGTTTTGCCCCTTTTCATTCATGCGTGGAGGAAAAAAGCGCCAACGCGGTTTTTGGCGCTAAAAGTTATCAAGAGGAGCTGAAGGTAGAAGTGGGTGCTGAAGGTAAGAATTCTTCACGAATTTTCGGCAACCTAATCATTTTATGTACAAACTGAAAAGCATAAGACAGAATTACAATTATTATAATTATATATCAAACACCAGAGAAATACCAATTGAGCTGTTGTGAGAATTTTAATATAATTTGAGACGACAACGCCGTTGATGTGGTTACATAATTAATAATTATTCCTCGAGCCCGAGCGGGCTCTGAGTCAATAGCCCATGGGGCCGAAGGACGAATGAGCTATTGACTCAGAGGCCATGAGGGCGAGAGGAATAATTGTTTTGGTAAAATCCAACTAGTTGGTCAAAAATATCGAGACAAAACAACTTTAGCTAGCAAAACGCGATTGAGCCGCCACTGTTTCGGTTTTCAAAGCCGGCGCTTTTTGCTACTAGTGGGCTATAACATATAGCCTAGTAGTAGGTCAACCAATCAGCCTTTTTGTTTCCGCTTTTCAACAAACCGGCTACTTAATCATTAAGATATTGGTACTGTAAATTACCAGATAAATGTGACAATGTGACATCTAACCTGATAATTGACTCTTTTTGTTTTTCAGCTGGGTACACAGGAGGACTGTGGAGCTTTTCTTTCTCTTTAAGCTCAAGTATGACAAACACCACTGTTTGAATTTTAGAACCTTGTCTATTTTAATTTCTAGGCCTTGCATGAATCGCTTATTACCCATGGTTTAACCCCCGCCTTATTTTGTTTCCTACTTTTGTGACTGTAGACACGAAAACCGATCGATGTATCTATCAGCAATGCGGCTTGCCATCTCTTATCTGCAGCGTTCAGTGTGCTTGATTTTAGTGTTGTCCTTCAATTCTGGCCTACTTTCACTTTTTTCACTGACAGCTCAGTGCTAAAATAATGCAAGGAGCCAAAAAACTCATAAAGGGCAGTAGTAACTGAAACGTCTAAGTAATTCTGACTTGAGTTGGACTCTTAAAATTCCGATCCATTATGGGAACATGTAAGGGTGTGTTGCGTAATACAACTCCATAAGCTGTCTTGTAAGTTTCTGCTCTTCTGTGTGTTAGCACTTTAAGTCACCTTCAACTCAAAGATCTATCTTTATTTACTATAGCTCGTATTAGGTTCCGGGAAAACTAGCACGATACACGCGATCCGCAGAGTCATTATTAATTCCCTATTTTAACATCACCTGAGTCTTACTTAATCTGCGTATTCACTTGATTAGTTCGTCCCTATTATCTTAGTGCTTGAAAGGAACCGCTACCATTAACACAGTTTTAACCGTTTACTGCCAATCGTAAAGTAAAAAGGGTGCTGAAATATTGAAATATTCCTGCAAGTATTTTGATTTTTTTTCTTATTTTTTCTTTTCCAATTAGGGTATGCACAGATGAAAAGGGAGACTTCGGAGTACCACAACGTGTATTATGTTGAGAAAAAAGTGTGCAATCGAGGTCGAGTTCGGTTCCAGTGGACATTGTCAGTTCAAAAGGAGTATCCAGTGTCTGAAGAATTTGCTGCAGAAGTTTGTCTCTTACCAGAGAAATACGATGAGCAAAAATATCTCCAATTTATTGACGACTGGGGAACGGTAAGCCTACTAGTCAAGTGATTAAACATGTTTGTTACTCTAAAAAAGTTGTGAATCTTGGGTGACTAAGAAGCGAAATCTTGCGGTTACGTACCACTAAAAAAAAACCTCTACACAAGAACTTTTCAGTGCACGCCAGGTACAACCTCGAACAAACCAGAGAGGCAAACTTGGTCAGTTTCCTCCGTCCCCCCCTTCACAAAGGATTATTAATATTGGTTTTTAGCTAAATTTATCTACGTGCGCCGTTAAATCATGGCTTGCAAAATACAATTTTTTTGCTAGGTTCAAGATTTTTAATTATACAGCAATTTTATAAAATGTTGATTAGAATCTGTGTGCCTTTTTAGCATGTTGTGATTGAGGTGGAGCTAGGAGAAAAGAGCACCTCACACTACAAAAGTTCTTGGGCTAATCTGACCAGCTACGCCATGGAAAACGTAAGAATTGTGTGTTGCTATTATCACGCGAGAAATATGCTGTCGAAAGTTTAACCACCCGCAGAACTAAGCGCACTGAAGAATTTATTTAAGACTTTGACATGTTATTTTTAGGAGTTTCTACCAACGTGCATATGGATTTTACTTATCCTGGCGGGATCAAAGATTACTTAATTAGAATGAAAGAAATGTTAATTTAGTTATCATACTACATGAAAAATTACTGCAATTTGATTGGCTTAGAGCAGTAGTATTTCAGCTTAATTTGAAATACCTACATGTGAAAATTACAAACCTTTTGTGGGTAGTAGTATAAACAAATAATAGCATGATTTGTATGTGATATTTGGCGTAAATACCACTCGTGATATTTCAAAATTGTCTCAAATTTCACTCGCCTAACGGCTCGTGAAATTTCGTATAACAATTTCGAAATATCACTCGTGGTATTTATGCCAAATATCACTACAAATCATGCTATTACCTACACTTATCAATTGTTTAAATTATTATTATTATTATTATTATTATTATTATTATTGTTATTATTATTATTATTATTATTATTATTATTATAACAGCTGCGAAAGACTAGGAGTAACTTCTTGCGGCGAGTGTTGCGCCTTAAATTTTTATAGTATTTTTACTTCATGGCATGGGAGAGGAAGGTTAAAACATTTCACAAAAGTGTCAATAAAGACTTCGGATATCACTCTGTTGCTTTTAAAATTACTTGCAGCTTGGCAACTCGGTGTCTCTTGGTGGTGGTTTTGGAGGATACAGTGCCTCGTTGTCTGTTAATGTTGAAACATTCAAGGAATCTATGAACCAAAAGACCAAATTTGGTTCCAGCAAGAAGGTTTACAAGAGTGGAGGTCCAGATATGCCGTCTCCTATACGAATCAAGCTGGAACCAATATACAACGCTTTGGGAGTTGCTTTCTTTAAAAAGCATTTACAGCAACACCCGAATTGTAACTTTAGCGTTCAGGCGCTAAGTCAACTGAAGAACAACATTGAGAAACTGTTTAAAGCATATCCTCAACTAAAAGGGGCTGAAAAAGGCCAAGGTAGGCATATCCTTTCTTCAAAATAAATGATTTGCGAAGAGATGTTTAATATCGTCGAAAAGTATTAATATATAGATTTAGCCACAGCTAAAAGCGAAGCTCCCATTGATTTAAGCAATAGACCACACTTTCTATGGGTTTACCGGCGTGATAACCCACGCGGGATGTTGGGAGAATACGAGAAAAGCTTGTAAATCACGAGCCGAAGGCGAGTGATTTACAAGCTTTTCGAGTGTTCTCCCAACATCCCAAGTGGGTTATCACGCCGGTAGACCCATAGAAAGTGTGGTCTATTGCGTTTATAAAATAACTTTTAGAAGAATGGAGTCTTTTAGGTAAAAAATATGGTTCTAGTACCGTGATTAAGTCACGTCTTCTCTCTAAAGTCATCGTAAGCCAATCATGACTCACGATTTAACAGCGTTGAACTTTCTCAAAACTCAGTTCAGTCAAACAACAAGCAGCAGCACTTCAAAACACGAGTTTTTGCACTCATTACACGATAACTTATGAAAGCTGTTTTACAGGAAAAGTCAACACATATTCATGCGAACGTACAATGAAAGAATACGTTCATGGTTTGTTTAGTACAGAAGTAGAAATTAATTGAACATCAGACTGTACGCAGCCGTATTTTGTTGAGTCGATCCGTAAGAATTTCGTTATTACAGATGGAACTGACAGCTATTGTAATGGAGGACTTCATTCACTTTTTACAAAGTAAAAAGCAGTGGTTTAAGATCTGTTTTCTGGACTTTATTATGATCAAGAAATGCTGCGGTAACGAGGTGGCTGCATTTGCGAAGTTGTCGCATGTAACTTTGTATGCACGTACAGCGACCGATGGAAATATGTCAGTGGTGGAGAAAGGTTTCTTTGCCGTAGCCACATATTGACGTTAATATTTGTCGATTCGTGAAGTCAGGTGGTTCATGAGGTAGGTTATGGCATCGATATCACCGCATAATTTGTGCAAATGTTGGAAAAAACCAGCCCGAAACTCTGACATCTTTCATCATCCTTGGCAGCTTGTTTACAACCTACAGCGGCCGATTTTGTACCATATCTTGATCAAGGATGTCTTTTTTGAACAAGTTCTTTCATTAAGGAATTTAATTTTGACATAAAATAAATCAAGAATGCTAAAACTATCCGTTTTGTTGCTGGTTGGCAAATGGTTAAGTTTTGCTAGAGACTTTCTACACCAGAAATTCACACAGTTGTTGTCTTTCTCTGCGATTTGGCATCGTCGTGAAATGTCAACTGTTTTCCAGCTTTGTACTTTATGACTTCTAAAGCTATGGCAGTAGCGAATTGTGACGCTCAGTAATAAAATGTGGAAACCAACGCTTTTAATATTAAGAAGGGCTGGGTAAGTAACTTGTTCTGTTTTTTAGCCTTTCTAAAGTCGTTGTTTGCAGATCGATAGCCGGTTTTGTTTATGGCTCGTGGTCTGGATGCCTTTTTCTATGGGTTTACCGGTATAATAAACCATAGGTTTTTGACCAATCAGATCACGCGTACTATCTCAGTTATTTTATAAAAATTTATAAATTAAATCAAACAATAATTTTGTATTCCACAAATCATGTGACTTTTGAGGGAAAAGCTAAGTGATTTTGGAGTGAAATAAATCTTGTATCGAGTTGATATAGCCTTATAAAATACACCCAAAAAATAGTTTTCGGTCACATTTAAGAGCAATAATGGCTCTTGATCACAGTCGATAAGGCGTGGAAAACAAATTCTTGGAAAACAAATCAGACCGAATTTTTTGCGTTCGACAAGTTTACAAATTCTTGCCAATAAATCTGGGTGCGTGCAAACCAACCTTTTATTTTTTTTTTTATACACCACATCTGAGAAGAAAGAGCACTATGAGGCGCTGTTTTTATCATACAGACCTCGTACAAAATGCAGTATTTCACAATTCTTCAAGACAAATTGCATTCATTCAATATTCAGGACCATCGAAGCACGCGTGGACTTTTAATCACAGGCGGCCCAGACGTAGTATGTGTCACTGAATGAATATATTAATATTCACATGGACAAATTAATGCGATGAGTCGTCGAAACTCCCATGGACTAAAATAGTCTAAAAGTCAAAATATAACAAAACAAAGCTAAGATACCTTCAACTGAACGTATCCTTGTCTTTCCTGGCCGGTTTAAGTGGCATTTTGTTGAGTTTTGAAATTGTAGGTACTATCCACTAAAGAAGAATTAAAGGCTGGCTACAAAACAAACAGACCATCTCCACGCGCCTTCACACGAAGCGCTATAAATTCGAGAATAATCGACGAATCCGCTCCAAATAACCATCGGCTAATCTGCAGGTAACGTGTGCTCCTGCTTCTGGCTCGCTTGCTCCACAAAACCCATCACAACTGCACAATAATTGCTCGCTCATCAACAACCACTGTTGACCTTTACGCTTCGATATGACCGCATACGACCAGGTTTAATACGCGACGTGAATATTCAAGCTTAGCGACCGCGTTCGCGCAACAATGCAGCACTTGCTATGGGAGGGATGGTACTATTGCTTCCAGGTCAATCAATCGGGAAAATAATATTGATGCCCTTGTCATTTTTTAAAAAGATCCAATTTGCCCAAGGAGCACCGAACAGATACGAATCTTATAGCGGAGCTAAAAAAAATGAGCGGCAGTGGAAAAAGTGAATAAGAACATGTACCACATTTTCTCCATAAAAAGTGAAAACCAGGAAGTTTTCTGGACGTTTCACGTTGCAGTCATGCAAATCAACGGCAAGGAAATGTACAAGAAAGTGTGCTGCAATTAGACCTATTGTTGTTTTTCACAGTTCTGGTCAAGGGCATCCAACTTTTAATTTTTCACATTTCACTCACCGGGTTAGGCTATTTTTCTTAGAGAGTAAAATGGAATCCTAAAATTTTCGGATTCAAAAATGTGATGAAAGAAGGTATCTGAAAAATTATCTCCTTCGTAATACGTTAAATTGCATCTAAAATTTTCGGGAAAATAATTCTGAATTCCTCGTAATTTCGAAAAGACTCAAGTTCCTCTAGAATGGCCGAACACTGAGATGCAAATTTTATAGCGCCACTTAGAATGCATTTCTATAGAGCTAAAAGTACTTTATGAATAGCTACAGAAGTGTTTTCAATTGAAAGTATTTGAGGAAACAGTCGTTGGGTGGCCCTGTCTCGTTGCCTTCTCCGCTTAGCATTACACGATATATTTTATATTTAGTATGAGCAAACTATAAATCATTAGCTTCGCTTTTAGCCCTCCTGACTAAATTTATGTAAGCGCTGTTTAGAATACATTTTTCGATCAAAAGTACCCTGGACAGCCTTAAATGTGTTTTCGATGCATTTAGGGGGAAATCATCGTTGGGTGCCCCTGAGTTTTGAGAATAATAATAATAATAAAAAAAGATATCGCGCACATAAATTTTACCTTACGATATCTTCAGCTGTATCTTCTATTCAGCTGCATAGCGGGGGCCAGATTTTGCCTTTTTCCTGGGCGGAAAATTCTCGTCCTCCTTCACCAGTTTGGACAACATATTATGGAGTAAGACGTTGTTAATCTAAGCAAATAAGTCTGGTAGAGTCAAGAACCTATGCAAGCGGCTGGACGAACAATGTGACAGCAGCTGAGACAGCGAACGTTAGAAGAATTCGAACATGAAAACCAGGGCTGCCCTGTTGAAAACTTACGGACGGTCCCGCGATCGCCTTTTGTTTTCTGGTCAAAACTAACGCAGCGAACCTTCGGTCAGTCGATTGACCTGGAAGCAATAGTACCATCCCTCCCATAGCAAGTGCTGCATTGTTGCGCGAACGCGGTCGCTAAGCTTGAATATTCACGTCGCGTATTAAACCTGGTCGTTTGCGGTCATATCGAAGCGTAAAGGTCAACAGTGGTTGTTGATGAGCGAGCAATTATTGTGCAGTTGTGATGGGTTTTGTGGAGCAAGCGAGCCAGAAGCAGGAGCACACGTTACCTGCAGATTAGCCGATGGTTATTTGGAGCGGATTCGTCGATTATTCTCGAATTTATAGCGCTTCGTGTGAAGGCGCGTGGAGATGGTCTGTTTGTTTTGTAGCCAGCCTTTAATTCTTCTTTAGTGGATAGTACCTACAATTTCAAAACTCAACAAAATGCCACTTAAACCGGCCAGGAAAGACAAGGATACGTTCAGTTGAAGGTATCTTAGCTTTGTTTTGTTATATTTTGACTTTTAGACTATTTTAGTCCATGGGAGTTTCGACGACTCATCGCATTAATTTGTCCATGTGGATATTAATATATTCATTCAGTGACACATACTACGTCTGGGCCGCCTGTGTTTTAATTAGCGAAACATTCAAAAAATTGTCCAAAATCACCTATACGGCCAGCCGGTTCTAACTTTTGACAAGCGCCAAATTTGCGAAGAAATTTTAAAAGAGTTACGCTTCAACGTGATAAAGAATTTATTGAGTCTATTTTTTATTAATGGCTTTATAACGATGTGTAATCTTAAAAAGCGTTTGATACGCTCGGCATTTTGAGTACTCCTGCAAGCGATGTTTATCAACGCCTGAAAACAAACGGCAAAGCGATGAAAATTACACTTTTCAGAGTACCAACAATCAATAAAGAAATATAATTCGGTAGAACATTTAAAGAGACAACAATTTTCATTCACGAAAACAAATGAGTATTTAAGTGTCTCTAAGAATCCTCAAGTCTTTACTAGTAAGCTTAAAGATTAAGTTTATGTTTTAAGCCGCCGGTTTCCCGGTGTTTGCTTTTTTCAAAGATGAACTCACGACAAGAAAATCGCTCAAAGCTTTCTTTCTACCGCCAAAATTATAACTAAATATTCTTAGGAACGTTTTTGCTTCTATTTATGGTGAATTAATATCGACTAAAGGCTTTTTAAAGTTCTGTAAGCTTAAGCTTATATCAAACCTCATACTAGGTCAGATCAGTGTCTAAGTCAAATCTTAATACAAACGTGCATAAACTAGCTTCATAAACTGCGC